TTCACAGTACACACAAGCAACTAAATGCACCAAAAGATATAATGGCTTTATACATTCGCAATGAATGGCTCAAACGAAATTTTCTCTAGATCTGGCTAAACAGCGAACGTGCGCTAGACATTATACCATACGGTAAGCCTTTGGCTAAGTATTCACAGTGCCGAAGCCAGCGATCCAGGATGCTCATTATGCGCGTCAGGTCAGGGCAGGGTGAAATCAATGCTACTGCGGTGTGAAAACTTAAAGTGATAAAAGGTAAGTCATGGCCTCATGGACTGGTTATAAACAGGTGCCGCGCGCGCCCCTGAATCCACATGAAATTTGTGAATGATATAAAAAAGATGAGAGCTGTGGTTAGTAGGGCTTGTTATTACTTATTGGCAATTATTGCTGACTATTGAATATTGTATTCTACAGTCACCAAATGTCACTCCAAGGTAAACCCCAACTGTGTCTTTGTTATAGAGCACAGTGTCCGTTTAAAGCTCCCGTTTAATGAGATCTATGTGTTTCACTGCTACTGCAATTCAAGGGAAAAGTCAGAAGGATCTAATTTTATGTTTTGCCTGTTCTGTAGAGTTATCCACTAACACAGGTTTGACTATACCAAAAACAAACGTACAAACTACAAGCCGCAGCTAAAACACTAACAAACACTATACAAAACACCACGAAACATACCTTTCATGGCAGGAGGCAAACTGCCAACAATAATAGCTTTGTGCTGAAAAATTGACATCTGTGTGAGAAGCAGGATGTACCGATGCCTTGTTTAGTATGCAGCAGGAGATATCCAAACCAACATTGCACAGTGCTAAGTCATATGTGTAATACATGGCCACTGCAACAATAGTGATTAACAACTAGAGTTGGTATACTGCATTGGATAGTATCAGATAAATAACATGGATGTAGGTTTTTACGCACTTTACGGTTACAATTAAGTTTCATAGCTAACAATACGTAATAGTATAGCTGAAAATCAGAAAATGGGATATATATACATTATACAGTGAAACCCCTGATGTTACGCTTACAACGCCCGATTTAAGCCGCGATAAGTATTGACCTTTTTTTGGCTCTTTCCGGAACTCATGAAAAGTTTTTTGGTGAGGTTTAAGCCGAGACGCTTAGGTCAAAGCGACGATCGCCTATAGATGATCGCGCACTAAATGAGTTTAACATGACTTGTTGTCTATGTGAATGTTGTGTACATGGACTGGGGTGCGTTTATCTGATTTTCTGGAACCCCGATTAGCGTGACGCCCCGCTTTTTTCGCGAGACTTGACATTCATAATGATAGAACGGCACACTTGGTTGGTTTCAATTCAATAACATTAGTTTTCTACATAAACTATGAACAGATTGTTAAAGTGGCAAACATTGTGTGTGACACTGGACATCACGATTCACAGCTCAAAAAAAAGCATTTTACAATTCCAGCTTCACATTCCAAATACGCTTTCTAACCAAGACTTTAAACTACTCGTAATGATGGCACCTTTTCCTGCCTGAATATGCGATAGAAATGTGCAAACATCACCCAGCAAATCCAAAGTGCTGCATAAATACGTCAAAGGCATATTTAATTAGGACACTACTTATCATTGTATTACTCACTGTATGGTAGTGTCGATGGTAAACGGCTACTTGTTGCAAGCCGGTGCCAAAACAAGCATTTTTAGAAACAGGAAGCCTGTGTTGGTAGTTACCACCACATATTAACACGCTCATATGTACCTGCTTGCATTTTATGCCTGCCTCTCGATTTTCAGTTATTAGCGCATGCTGGAGACTGAAACGGTTACAACTTGGATACGCAAAACACTCATATACGTCGAGCTGCATTCGGCATTGCGTTGAGAATGTTAAGGTCCACTCGCAGGGCTGCTAGCTGGGGGGAAGGGGGCAGCTGCCCCTAGATCTTTGGAGCCAAATTAAAAAATAAACTTCATAAATAACTCTAACGTGATTTATTTGGTCACTTATCCGTGAAAACCTTGTTCTGAGACCCCCCCCCCCACACCGACACTATAGACGTCGATCAAGAGCTGCGCCGCGTCGCTCATCATTACACAGTTGAGGCATGAAATTTTGCCCCCCCCCCCCACCATAGGAATTTGCTCAGCCGTGTACAGCCTGACTCGTAAAGCAAAGTTTAGGTGCACTATATCTAAATGGTGGCACCATTCTAACGGACAACGAATCTACATAGTGCACGAATTCCAGAGAATGCACATGCAAGTAGGTTCACATGTCGTGGATGAGCATTCAGTCATGCAGACCACAGGCACTTAAAACGTCTCAATAAAAAAAAAGGTAAATAAACACGAAATGTTTCTGCTACCTCTATTTAGGCCTATAATCACCTGTAAATGCCCGTCAAAATCCTCATACTGCAACAGACAAGTACACCGCACGCTAGCTGCTGCACACACTGACACATAAAATATATAGTTATTTATATTTATTTATACATGCTGTCAGTGCTGGCAGCAGCGGCTAGCGTCGGCGGGCCAGCGTGTGACAGTGTGGTTGCAGACGAGTATTTGACGGCATTTAACAGGAAATTGTCGGCAATAATAGGTGAAAGAGAGTAAGAAGGCATTAAGACTTTGGTAATAAATATATTTCGTATTTATTTAGCATTATATTTTTTTGAAAACGCTCCAAGTGCCTGTGCTGCAGACTGCAGTCCACTGCGTTTCCATGCAATCATTCTATTTCATTCTAGATAACATAAAACTTTAAAGAGGCCTTTCAGTATATGCTATAGTATTAATTATGATATAATAATACTAGTATTACTATTAGTATTAGTAATTAGCAACAGTACATTTACAATATATTTTTATCAGATTTACGAAGCACATTATTACTATTAGTATTCCTATTATAGGTATTAGTATTGGCTGAGAGGGTCTATGTCCCCCGGGGTACTGCCGAAACGTACACTGGTACTATGCTAATAGTAATATTTATGCCCGGACGCGTACTCCGCCTACTCCACTAACGAGTCGCCTATGCCTACTCGTAACCTAGACGAATAATTCTGCTCCCATATAACCTTTTTTTTATTTTTTGTGAGGGTTATATTGGACAGAACGGGGTTCATTGAAATTTCGTGAGATGCATGCAAAATGCATGCCGCTGCGAAATGCGGCCCGTACGCCGCTATTGCGCGACAAAAAAAACCTACCGTTCCTTCTACATGACTTTACCTTGCTACAAATATGTGTATACATTCACTTCAATCGTTATTCACCTTCTTAAAAGATTGTTTTTCAGAAACGCCGCTTCATTCCCACTTTCGTAAATACACATTCGCCTTTTACAAACAATCAGACCAATGCAGAGCGATGTGTTTACAATAGCCTGGTTCTTCGGCTTGTATCTGTGGCGCTGCAGGAGGGCTGATAGACTCGTTTCTGATTGGTCTAATTGTTTGTAAATGGCAAATGTTTATTTACGAAAGTGGAAGGAAGCGGGTTTCTGAAAAACAATCTTTTAAGAAGTGAATAACGATTGAAGTGAATGTATACACATATTTGTAGCAAGGTAAAGTCATGTACGAAGGGAACGTAGGTTTTATTCGCGCCAATAGCGGGCGTACGGGCCGCCTTCGCGCAGGGGCGCATGCATTTTGCATGCGATCTCACTAAATTTCAATGAACCCGTTCTGTCGCAATATAACCCTCCCCAAAATAAAAAAAGGTTATATGGGACCAGAATTGATCAGAATTATTCGGTCTACCCTAACCCTAACCATATCAAAGAGTGAACAGGGTACGTTCTGGCAGTATCCTGGGAGACATAGACCCTATGGCTATGAGCATTAGTATTACTATAGCGTATAGTAATAGTATTACTATTACTATTACTATTAGTATTATTAGTAATATTACTAAAACTAAGTACTATTGAGTATTGGATTGTCAATAGTAATACTAATAGTAATAGTACTAATACTACTACTACTAGTACTAGTAGTACCAGGAGTAAGATAATATAGCCTTTTATAGGTCCTATATAGGCTATATTATCTTACTCCTGGTAGTACTAGTACTATTATTAGTATTACTACTATTAGTATTACTAGTAATACCATCAATAACCTCACCTGTATTACTGCTTTACTGATGCTGATAGCACCACGACATCCAAAGTCGGTTTCGTGTTCTGATTTGTAATAGCTAAGTGTACCATCCTTCAACACTATATAGCGTTCTTGCCAACCGTGAATGTAATTTGTCCATTTGCTTAGGGTGCCATGAAGTTCGCATAGGCGTCTACCTTCTTCGAACTCGTCCTCTTCTTCATCTGTGAGGTTAGCTATGTTCTCATCACTCATTGTCCCAGAACGTTATCGTATTTACAAAAGACGCCGATGCGCCAGTTTACACAACATATATTACGGTATAAGGTAGAAAAACTTTATCTACACACACGAGCTTATTTCAGATATTTTTTAGCGGCTGTAATCCTAAAAAAATTAGACTGGTACCCGGTCCCACCTCTCGGCTTAGGGTATTCGAGGTGGGAGCGAGTACCAGTCTATCCTAAAATCTGGTACACTGCTGCCCTCTAAATGAGACATACCACGTGCCAACTGCGTACACCACACTGTCCAATCAAAAGGCTTTTAGTATTTGACTGTTTTTCAACGTGTCAACATGGCAACAAATTCTGATACCACTGATTTTCTGTTTGAAATAAGAAATGCTTTTTATGTTGGCAATTATCAACAATGTATCAGTGAAGCACAAAAAATAAAAGTGAGTATTACTGCACAGCAAAAAAACATGATCAGTATGATTTATTAAAATGTGTGCTACACTGCAGTGACACTGTGACTGTGTAGTGTAGTGTAGCATGTTACTCTGTTAGTGTTAGATACAATTTCCTACTCTGTTAGATACGATAATGTAACCCAAACCCAAGACTAGAGGATAGGGGAGGCCCTAAACCGACCAGGCTCTCCGACTAGTTACACGGCTCTCGCCACGTAGTGTCAAGCGAGATGGGAACTTGTGGCTAGGGGAGGCCCCTATCCTCTTGGGTTTGGGTTACATTATTGTATCTAGTACTCTGTAGGCTGTAGGCTGTAGCCGTAGGCATAGACTGTAGAGTGTAGGCCTAGTCTGTACAGTAGTAACTCGGTTCAAGGATAGAGATGATGTCCAGGATGGTGTCGTGATAGGATAGGATGATGTTTATGACTGGACATGCTCTCTATCCTTGAGCCCGTAACTCTGTAGACTGTAGAGTGTAGTACTAGTAGTAGTAGTAGTAGTAGTGTACAATGGCACAAATAAGAAATATAACAACAGTTATTACAGCTGAGAGTGAGAGGGTATATGTCCCCCAAGGTACTGCCGGAACGTACCCTGGTAACTATATCTACCTCGCCTACCGTACCTCGCCTACTCCATTAACGAGTCCAGGGAGTCGCCTACGCCTACTCCCTAACCCTAACCCTAACCTAGCCCGACCAGGCTGTGCGACGGATTGTCTATATTGTCGGTCTTGGAGCTAACCCTAACCCTAATCCTAACCCTAACCCTAACCTTAACCCTAACCTTAACCCTAACCCTAACCCTAACCCTAACCATAACTATATCAGATAGTTACCAGGGTACGTTCCGGCAGTACCCTGGTGGACATAGACCCTATGAGCGTTATTACACGCTATAGTAGGCCTACATAATTATCAGATGAAGCACAGGAGTGGCGAAAGACCCACAGGTCTGATACTATCAGGAGTGAATAATAGAGATTCTTTATTATTTACTTCTGATAGTATTACTACCGAGAACCGGTCAGTGACAGCGAGAGATTAGGTACAGTATTAGATGTAGTGATGTTTAGGTAGACATCGTCTACTTGCCAACTGTGGTTACCATACCGTCCTGGTTGACTTGATTGTCCCGACCTACCAGCCCGCTATATCCTTGTTATTAGCTGTACTCTTACTGTGTTCCTCATTATTACAATCTATCAGATAGATAGTAAAATTTCAAGACATGCAATCAGTTTTCATATGCTTACTGCATACTTGTAAATTCAAAAAGCATCTTTCATTAAAAGGTGGCTCATTATCCTTACACACATAGCTAGTATGGGGCACATAGCCATTGATGGATCTGCCTATTATAATCTGTTTTATTTTATTTATTCCAGGTGTCTGATCCCTTGGTGAAAGCTGAACGTGATGTTTACATGTACAGAGCATACTTAGCACAGAGAAAGTATGCTGTTGTTCTGGATGAAATCCATTCAGCTTCACCACCAGAGCTGCAAGCAATCAGGCTATTTGCTGACTACCTAGCTAATGAGGCAACCAGGTAACCTAACTTTGTTTAAAATCCAATTTAATAACATAGTTTGAATGGTAGGAGGTATTGGCTAGCACAACATTTTAGTAACAAGTCATGGTTTTTATGTGACAATTATACACACATCAGATTTCTATAATAATTTGGTTCCACACACTGCATTTGGGTTCGTAAATAATGGGTCAAAACTTGCTATTAATTAGTAGAGAGTCTATTGCTTGATATTTATGTTCTCATTTTACTTTTCACAGAGATGCATTGCTAAAGACATTAGACAGCAAAATGAGTGCAAGTCTCGACATTTCAAACCACACATTCTTATTAATGGCTGCATCTGTGTACTGCCACGAACAGGTATGGTTGCCTATAGGTTTTATATAATTTTTCAGTAGTGCATGTTATGATATGTAGGAAAATATTCATGAGTGCAAAATAATCGGTATGTGAAGATAATGCTTCCTAGATCTTCAAGTGCAACAAGTAGGTTTTAAGTATGGATGTGGATTATATAATCTTAAATGATGATGGCTACTCTGTATTTTGTTCATCTATACTACCTGCATCCTACTTCACTATTAGAGTTGCTATATGTGTAAGGGGAGTACTAAGGAGGAATCTATTGTTGTTAGAGAAGTCAATAAACAAATCATGCAATATCAAGTGTACAGTGCCAAATGAGATATCGGCTTTGGTTACAGTTTTTTTGTTTTCAGCTTCCCTTCATCTGATTTCAGAACCATGATGCAGCTCTGCGTGTGTTGCACCAGTCGGAGAACCTCGAGTGCATTGCGCTGATGGTGCAGATCCAATTGAAGATCAATCGACCTGACTTGGCAAGGAAAGAGTTGAAGAGAATGCAGGATGTAGACGACGATGCAACACTCACGCAGCTTGCACTTGCCTGGTTCAACATGACTGTCGTGAGTCTTTTTGTAATGCTTCAATATATATATATATACATATATATATATATATACATCAGGGTAAAAAATACACGGGAGCGATGAGCGATTCGCTCTTCAAACCTCCAAAATCGCTCCCGTAAAATGTTTGCCGAAAGTTCATTTTCCCACAGACTTGAAAAAGAGCTCCCGTGGACAAAAAAGTAATTTTTTCCCTGATATACATGTATATCAGTTAAACGTTTTTTAACCATTACATCGTTTCCTAGAAATTGTAAGAGAGTATCTTTAATCTGTGTGTCTTTATTTATATTTTCAAGCCGATTATACATTGTTATATTTAATTCAGTACCCATCTGGAATGGAATATCAGTTCTTATCGTTAATCAGTCCTGTTAGGAACTAACTTGGAATATATGTTACATGAAAAAAATCTGAAAATTTGATAAATATTTGGCTTAAACAGGGAGGTGAAAAGCTACAGGATGCCTTCTACATCTATCAGGAGCTGTGCGACAAATACGGTTCCACGCCTCTCCTTCTCAATGGTCAAGCCAATTGTTTGATGCTGCAGAACAAGTTTGATGATGCTGAGGGCTTGTTACAGGAGGCCCTGGAAGTGGTAATAAATATCAAAGTGGTAGTTGCCAGTTGGTTACCAGGGCATGAAATTCAGATTTTTCTGCACTGGCCCAGAGGGCCGGTAACAGCAGTTTTTTACCAGCCTTCACCATAATTTACATCCCTCACAAATGTTTTCTTTTCAAAAATAAAGATAAGACTGATAAGAATAAAGACTAAAGTTGTAGCATGCGGCATCGCATAGTAGCTGTTGAACAGTCTATAATGCAGATCGTGAATGACGTGCGAAGTTTTTTTGTCACTGACATTGTCATGTTTCACGCTTGCATTCTTGATTTCAAATTTGTAAAATGTTGATAAATTATGGCGTGATATCCTTCAGGTAAAACAGTATTGTAGGCGATTTGCTCATTAATGCTATAAATAAAAATGTAGGTTCTCGCTAACATGGCTGAAACCACCGGCTCTGAGGGCCGGTGTTTTGGGAATGTTACCGGCCCTCCAAATAATTTGCTGGCATATGCCGGTGGGCCAGTGCTAATTTCGTGCCCTGGGTTACTATTATTTGTCTTAGTCAAACACGGTCCAAAGTTTTATCACCAGCTGTGGTGGCTTTGCAAGGCCTATTGATTGATGATATTCGTCATCAAAGACATGAAGTCAAGATCCTCATAAATCTGCGGTTTTCTACCTGACCTGCACATAATTATCTCATTATAAGCCATGTAGTAACCATGTACTATCCTACTCTGGGGTCGTAATTACTAGAAAGGTTGTTGTTACTATAAATGGCACCATGCACCATTCACTAAGTGAGACTGTTTAAATACTCAGAGTTACTACTGTTTAGATCCTATTTTATATTGAATGCTTTATTTCAGCAAACTCTATGGTAATGTTTCGGACAAGAAATGTAAAGATTTGATTTTAATAGCGATTTGTTATTGTTTGCATTTTGTAGGACAGCAATAATCCAGAGACACTGATCAATCTCAATGTCGTTTCCCAACATCTTGGCAAGCCATTTGAGGTATGTTGTATGTGTAGCATGCAATACTACGTTGAGAGTGTGATAAAAAAAACCAGTTGAGCAATTGTATGCAACACTGATTGGAATGTAGGAGTGATCGAGTATTGCCACTAGTTTTATTAGCTTGTAGAATCGCATGATTGTCCGTCTGTGCGTCCGTCCGGCTGTCCGTCCGTGCATCCGTCAACAGTTGGGCACAAATCTTAACCGCTCGACGTACGGTCACGATATTCGGGACGTGCACTCCGTGCACTCTGGGCTGACGGTTCGAATACTACTTACAGTAATACGATTACACCGCTGGATAAACTATCTGATATGCGTTATGGGTTAGCGGAGATAGGCGTAGCGACTCCTAAGACTCGTTAGTGAGTAAGGCGAGGT